AAGCTCTCAGCACACAGGGAGAACTGGCCCACCCTCCCATCACAGCCTCTGCTCAGGGCTGGGCCATGGAGGGAGCCGTGTAGGTCTGGAAGCGCTTGTGGGCTYGCTGGTGAGTGAGCAGTCTCAGAGACATGGTGTCCACAGCTGCTTCCAGCCCTGGCTGTTGGCTGATCTCCACCATGTAGTCATTGACCAGCTGCAGGGAGGCCAGCATGGAGCGACACACCTCAAAGGCAGGCTGGCCTGCCACCAGCTCTGCAAAGGGACACCACTTGTTGAGCTGGGGGAATCGTGAGATCACCTGGTCCCTGTACGTGTGGATATCAAAGGGCACATGCTGCTCCTGTTCCAGGAGCATGGGTTAGATGGTGTCTTCCCAGTCCCTGATGTGCTGGCTCAGCTCTGTCTCCTGGACAAACTTCTGGGAGTTGGCGATGAAGAGCTCCACATTCCTTGGAACCAGCTCCTCGTAGCTCAGGGACTCTGGCATGGCCTCTGCCTCCAGGTCAGCAGCCTCCAAGTGAGTTGAAATTTCAATGTGGTTTTGATTTGTGTTTCCTTGACGGCTGCAGATGAAAACTTTTTAAAATATATTTGTTGGTCACTTGTATTTTTTCTTTTGAGAACAAATAGTTCATTTGTCCATATATTGATTAGGTTATTTTTTTAATGGGGATTGGTGTTTCTTGAGTTGTTTATATATTCTGGGTAGTAATACTCTGTTGGAAGAGTTGCTGGCAAAGATTTTCTCCCATTCTGTAGACTTTTCTCTTCATGCTCTTATTTTATGGAAAATAATTTAAAAATGTTTTTACCATATGTTATTGATCTGTTTTGTTTATCTAATTTTGCTTTTATTTCCAGCTGACTGTACTTCCTCTAAAAGCTGTGGGTAAGGCAAGGCAGTTCAAATATAGTTCCTCATAAACAAAAGGGAAGCATAACTTAAGAATGACAAAACCAAAATCAAAATACCTTTTTTTTTCTTGTTTTATTAGGGATGGAACATAGTCCTTTGCACTTGCTAAGCAAGCACTTTATCACTGAGCTACATCCACATTTAAAAATTTTTTGAGACAAATTCTAAGTTGCTCAGACTGGCCTCAAACTTGAAATCTTCCTATCAGTCTCCAAGTATTTGGGATTATAGGTATGCACCACCATGCAAGCCAATATATTCTTTTTGATAATTTGTTTATCTCTTAAAATGTTTGAGTAAATAAAGTGATAAATTTCATAATTCTGTTTTAATTTCATGTAATAATCATTATATTTGACCCCAAATATAACCTATGGTAAGTCTCAATTGGTTAAAATGTATTAAGTATTCCATTAATTTCATTTCCTGTTCCAATCCACCAATCCATGATTCCTTTTTCTTCTTTCTTATTTTAGGCTTCTTATGTCCTTGTTCACATGTCCTTTTTCTTGATTTATTCTTCATTTAGGTAGAACACATGTTCCATTAGCTCCCAGTGAAAGAATGCATGGAATGTTGAAACTTTGTTTGAAAATTAATTTCATAATTGGTTGATAGATTGGCTTGGTTTAGAATTCCAAACTGTAAGTAATTTTTCTTCAGGATTTTAAAGTATTGATCCATTAATTTTTCTTCAGAATTTTAAAGTATTTATCCTGTAACTTCCATAGTTCCTATTGAAAAGTCTAATACATTGACCATTTTTTTCAATAACTTTATTTATTTTGGTTGATCCCAAAGTGTGTGTTTTATGATCTTTTCCCCCATATTGTATTTACTTTGTATATACCACATAAAACCAATTTTTTTCCCTCCCCATAAACAGTACAAGTTTCTCTTGGTCTTTGTAGGATAGAATAAAAGGAAGAAGGGAGATAAAAAAGAATTCCTGAAGCCTATATGGGGTCTTAAGTATTTTATACTTATCATGATCTTAATTAGGTACTCAATACAAGATTAGTGTTTGACATATTAGCCATTACATTGACCTTTCAACCCTAAATCAACCACCATACAAAACAAAATGAGTTTTTTTAAAGAGAGTTTAACTATAAATAGTAAACATGAATAAAACCAGAATTTGTTGTCATAAGGTAGTTAGGTAAACCTGTCATTTTTATTTACAACAATAATTTCATGATCTTTTGTTTGATAAGAAGGCAGAGTTGTGGAAATGCAAAACAAATTAAAAATATGAATGAAACAGGATTTAAATTTTAAAGTAAAGTATATCTAAGAAAATATTCCCTAATGCACAATAAGGATTTTTTTTWATTAGTGTGGTTAGGAACTATCTCCTTTTAACACAGATCATATTCTACAACAGAAGAAACTAATGTATGATCTGCACTTTTTACAATTTTAAGGCAAAACTTTATCCACATAGATTCCATTAGCTACCTTTCTTGTAATTGAAATATCAAACCCAAATATTCACACGTACTGCTAAGGGGAAACCAGACACACATACATGAAAACTACATACTGTATAATTCCTTTATATTAAGTTCAAAAACATACTAAGCAAAACAGAACTGCAGTGGTGGTGGTGGTGAAGGGCACAAGGAAGGCCTCTTGGGTGTTGGACAGACATATTGTATATATTGACACAGTTGGAGCTCCAGTGGCGCAATCGGTTAGCGCGCGGTACTTATATTGACACAGCTGGTGGTTACATTGAATTGTACACTTGGCCCTTGAGCATTTATTTTTTACTATGTCTCTAAATTGAGGTTATCTGTTTTTCAGTTTCTTAGGAAAAGAAACTCTTAGAAACCTTAAGAACATCATTCAACACAGCATGTTTTGCCCTTGTTGAGATGACAAAGCCTCTGACAGGAAAACAAATACTTAATGGCATTTTCCAAGCTTATCTTCCCTTAAACCACCCTATTTCTAGCCTACCCCTACACCTGAACCACCTTCCCAGAGATGCCTCTTATCTGACCTGCAGAGATTAAATGATAACAACCAATCCAGTTGGCAAGGGTGTTGGAGTCTGAGTTCCATCATTTTCAGGTTAAATAAGCTTTCAAGTTCCTTCTTCCCTCAAACCAAAAGTAAACTCCCAAAAGTAAATAATAATGTAAAAACCAATCTTTCAATCATCACTTTGTATATCATAATTTATATTACCTTAGCTAGTGAATGGGAGGAATCTGCCTTTAAACATCTTTGTGGAATTTCCACTGTAATTTTGACAGTTTTGAACAGGTTAAAACTGTGTGTGTGTGTGTGTGTGTGTGTGTGTGTATAATGTTAAAGCTAATATATATTGTAACGGGTTAAAACTATATAATTTATAACGTATGTATATAATATACATATGTAATATAATAAAAATATGCATGTGTATTACATATATTTTTAACCTGTATACATATACACATACCTGTATATGGATGTATGTGTGTATTAGTGAAAGATAATCACAGACTTTAAACAGTTCAGAGAATGAAAGGTCCCTTTATAAGAAAAATTCCTAGCCAAGCATGATGGCAAATGACTGTAAAATCAGCTACTCAGGAGGATGATGCTGGAGGATTGCAAGTTCCAGGCTAGCTAGACTGGGCAACTTAGCAAGATCCTGTCTCAAAATAAAACATAAAATGGCTGGGGATGTGCCTCAGTGATAGAGCTTCCCTTTAGGGGGGGAAAAATTCCTTCCCTTTAAAATAAAAGTAAAATATCACGGAGAAGGGAGAAAAAAGCATTTCTTACAACCGGTTGTTCCATTAATTCATGAAAAAATGAAATATTGTATTATACAATACTGACTTGCAGTTCTTTGGTATTGTATGTTGTTGATCCAAAGAAGAACTGCAAATAATGAAGAACGGTATTAAGATATTACATCATGCACCCAACAAGCGCATTTCTTTGGATATTTTGACTTCAGCCAAAATATGAAACAAAGTAATGACAAAGGAAGATGTTTCAAAGGACTGCAGATGTCTCTTTCCACCCTTCAAATCTTTTTTAGATATTAGTAAAAATAGGCAACATTTAAGACCACGAATACTTCAGATTTTGGCAGAAGTCCTAAGGCTTTATACTCTTTAACGACTTGTTTTAAGTGTTTTAGTTGACCTAAGRACTGATGTGCAGATGGAACTAAAAATACATGAAGAATGACTATTACAGGTCTTGTGGAAAAGACAAAGACCTTAGAACTCTGGAGCAGGTTTGCACTAAGTTGCGGAGGTGCAGGACTGTAAGCAGTTGTCGGGTGGGATAGAGTATTTTAATTTTTCTTTTTTCTGTTTTTCGAAGAACCAGCCTTGTAGGGTGAGGCAACAGGATTGGGCACCTTAGGGCGAGGTGGGGGTGCTCTGGTATTTAACCTATCATGGGAAGAAGGGGCCGAAACAAAGACGGCGTGAGAAACTCACTTTTGCAAGGCACTTTCTGGTTTGAGAAAGCACTCTCACATGCTTTAATTTCATAGCACGCGACACCTTACCTGCGGACCTCCAGGGTCTACAAATGTAAGAGGCCCAAAGAGAGGGGACTCTTTGAAATCGAGATTCTAAGGAGCGCCTCACGACCCACGCGTTCCCGCGACTAGGGAGGGCCGCGCCCGCACGTCACTCGCCCACTACCAATCGGCGCCGGGCTGGTCACCTCTTTTCCCGGGGCCCCTCCGCCCCGCCCGCGCTCCGACTCAGGCCGTGAGCGCCCGCCGGCCGCTTCCGTCTCGGCGCAGGCGCGGCAGCSCAGCCGGAGTGCGGAGGGGGCTCGGAGAGGAGCTGACGCCGCTGGCCAGGATGGTACTTGAGAGCGTGGCCCGCATCGTGAAGGTGCAGCTCCCGGCTTATCTTAAGCGGCTCCCAGTCCCGGAGAGCATTACCGGCTTCGCCCGGCTCACAGGTAACCCTCCCCATCAGCCAGTCCCCATCCTTACAAGCTCTCCCCCCCCCCCCCCCCTCGAGAGGGGGAAGGGGGAGAAGTGTAGAAACCCCCGTGCTAGAGGCGGGGCGAAGCTGGAGGAGCGGCACGTGATCTCGTGACCCTGCCTGCGCCGGCGCAGCAGCGTCTGGAGCTTTAGCGAGGCCGCGTCTAGGTACTTGATTTCCGAGGTTCTTGTGACCCCGTTGTCTTCGGTGTCCTACTGTGGCTAGAGCCGAGGCTTTACTGAAAATGCTGAGTCAGGAGAGCGCCAGTCTCATTTCCTGCGCTACTCATCCGTCGCTCTCTGCAGTGTCCTTTGTTTCAACCGGGTTTAAGTCATCGTTTTCCGAGGCGCTGTGTTAACGGGCGGCTTCGGCTCTCTCCGAGCGTGTGGGTGGAAGCGAGTGATGGGAGATAAGTACAGGCATCCATGTAATTGTTTCACTTAGTGATGAAATTATGAAATGACCTCCATCCCAAAGGGTAGAGTTGACCTATCCTGGGGGCGTTTGAGGTCACTTTCTTTACTACAGTCTTGGGAGCAGTTGGGGTAACTTGAGTTGGAGGAAAGATGCCTTAGCTAGAAAGTGTTCGAAGGCTGGTGTGACTGGATGACAGCCTTTCAGTTAATTTTTTTTATGTCTAAAAGAGACTTTTAAAAAATCCCATTTTTTCAATGAAAATTAGAAGCAAAAAACTTTGAAAGTTTCCATTATTGTTGCTTGTAATCTTTCTGTTTAGCTCTAACAGGTTTTAGAAGCAATTGGCTCTCATGATGACTCTGCATTCTTAGAAAACATATGGACTTCCTTAATTACCACATACAATTTACAGACAATTCTTATCTATCAGCAACAACCCATCTTTATGTTACATTTTCAAGAGTAATGCTTTAAGACATTAAGTGTGGTACTGCCCTTTGGAAGTACAGTATATTCCAATACCTTGATTTTTAAAAACATTCTTTTCATCACATAAACCTTTGAAATAGAACTGCAACAATAAAATAGTCCCATTCAAAAGTCAGAAAACAACATATTTCCAGTTTACARGCTAGCTATGAAACTTACAGATTTTACTCTTAAACCAGTGGGGATTTTAATAACATTTCCTAGGGTAACACAAATAGATGAGTGAACAAATGTAAAATCATTAGTGTTATTTATCCAGAAGGGGCCATTGAACAGTTTTTTTTTTTTTTTAATAGTTGTAAATGGACAGCATGCCTTTATTTTACTTTTATGCGGTGCTAAGGATTGAATCCAGTGCCTCACACATGCCGGGCAAGCACTCTGCCACTGAGCAGAAGTGAAAGAGTTGAAAACATACAGCCATAAAAGTTTCATATGTGTGTATGTTCATTGTAGCCTTATTTGTAAAACCCCCTGAATTGGAAGCAGCCAAGTATCTACCAAAAGAAAAGTGGATAAACAAATTATGATACATAAAAAGGAACGAATTCCTGATCCACTGTATGAGTTTCAAAAACTTCCTGATGTGTGAAAGAAGCTGTGATTGTGAAAATATGTGTTAGAGGAGTAGAAAAGTGCAAGAAAATACTTTCTAGGGAGATGGAAATATTTTACATATTTTTATGCAAATATTTTCACACATTTTCAGTAGAGGCTAGAGGGATGCATTGTCACAACACAGAGCTAACCCCTGTTATTTTATGTAACTTATACCTCTATTTTAAAAGAAAGTGGAACAAAATGTGAAAGCATAAAAGATCATTAAGTTCAAACAAAAGAATTGAGTTTCACTTATTTACATGTAAATAATAAAGGTTATTTTTGAAAGGCCATAGTTTTATTTTAGGAAGTTTTTTGAGAATTTGGGAAAATACTTATATGATTACTGTTATAAAAGTYTTCTTTTCRGGCTGGGCTTGTAGTTCAGTGGTAGAGCACTTGCCTTGCACTTGTGAGGCAGTGGGTTGAATCCTCAGCACCACATAAAAATAAATAAAGGTATTGTATTCATCATAACTTAATTTTTTTTTAAGTTTTCTTTCCTCTCTAATTAGTCTGTATTTAAAAGTCAGTGTAATTAAGGATTGTATTGCCCTTGTGGAGAACAGTTTGGATCTCATTTAAACATTTTCTTCCATATAATTATTTTGCAATTTAAAACTCAAGTCATTAAGTATTTATTGAGCATCTATTGTGGGCCAGGCAGTGTTCTAGAAACTAAGACACTGTTTTATTCATAATAGAAGGAAACAGATTTTTAAATTGATCATTTATTTTACTAACCCTTTATCCTAACATAGTTTATATTAGGTTTCAAGTGATAATAGTAAAGTCATTCAGTGATAGTATTTTACTTTCATCTCTTCTACAGTTAAGAAATAGAAATCATTTCTGTGTCTTAGCTGTAAATTATACACAAAAAAGTCATAAAATCAACATCAACCAAGTTGTCAATATTATTTTTATGGTAATCTTTTGCAAATCTGAAATGGGAAACAAATTGTCCTGGTTTCTTAGAATATCATTTCTCATTGAGATCCAGATATGTTTATGTGTACTTTTAAAAATCTTTTTAATAATAAGAGTTGGGGACATGTTTTTATAATAATATTTGTGGCTCAGCAGTAAAGTGTGTGCTTGGCATGCTTGAAGCCCTTGGTTCAATCCTTAGCACCAAAAAAAAAAAAAAAAAAAAAAAAAGTATTTGTTTTTATAGCTTAATCAGGAATAAGGGTGTTAGAGCTAGTGTATGTCACTATATAAAAGGTTGAATCTGCCCCTTCTGAAACCTAATTCTGTTGGCTTAAGGAGATAATTTCTTTCAACAGTTGAGAAAATTGTTGTTAAATTGAGTGCTATTCTACCATAAATCTGTCTGATTTGAGAAAAAATTAATTTTTTAGATCAGGTATTTAGAAATGTAATTTCTGGAGAGTAAGATATGCACATTTGTACTTTTAATCAACATTCCTTGATTGACCTCCAAAAGGACAATGTCTAATARTTTCTGTATCTCCATGAACCAGAGAAAATGTCGATATTATTGAATGTTAAAAACAACCATTTTATGAATAAAACATTTCATCACATGAAAAACAAAATTGCTTGCTATTCAAGTTACTTTGACATGTTTTTCCTGTCTTGATTTTGTTTCTCTGATGGTACTCTGGTTCTTTTACCTTGTTAGTCTTGTTGTTGTTTATTAAATAGTAGGTTATAGAAGTTTCATATAAATGTTAGGACACTTGTAATAATATTAGAAACACTAATATTAATTACACTTGTAATGTTAATATTAGAAACAGGTGATCTTCATATAAAGTAAGAAAGTCTATTGGAAGTGAAATATTTAATAAAATTTAAGAAGACTCAACCCTTTTACATTCAAATGAGTAAACAAAATGCTGCCTAACTGGGTGCTTTTAAAATGGATTAAATGTTGAGATTAGCTAGTTTCATCTATGTCACTTAGTTGTCAAAAATGCATCTCTCCCCAACCTCTAATCATCTTTCAGATTTTCATCTTCTCATCCTGGCTTGTCTCCTAAATCCTTGGTACTTCTCATAGAGGCACTACCTTGATATAAGTGAAACAAAACTCACCTGAGTAAACCACTTGTAGCTCTTGGAGTATTCTGTTTTTATCCTTTTCTCTGGAGAAAGCAGAGAATTGCCATTTTCTTTTGCTCAATTTCTTTGTAGAWAATATCTTCACCCTTTCAAAGAAAGCTCTGTCTTCTTTTAAAGCCTCTGCCATTCATCAGTGCAGTATTACCTCCTTACTTTTTTGTTGCTATTTGTGGACCATTAGTCTCTCCCTTATGTTCTTTAACCTATTTTTTTGCCTATCATCCCAGATCTGGAATACCTATAAAAAGCTGAATATAGTATAATATAATCATATAATATATAACTATATAAAGTAAGAATATAGTCAAAATATACTAATATTTACATGTGTATGCTAGATTATGATCTTCAGTTTATTTTAATGCACTTGTGTAAATTTCATCAAAATGTTAACATGAAATCTTGGGACTTAATGGATTAAGGATGCTGATGCATCGTTTTCCCCTTTTTTGTACGTCTCCTGCACTCTCTCTTCCTGTTTAAAGCCACCTTTCTTATATATTTGGGGATGGGTTGTTTTTATTAAAGCCACCTTTCTTATATATTTGGGGATGGGTTGTTTTTATTAAAGCCACCTTTCTTATATATTTGGGGATGGGTTGTTTTTATTAGATATCACCATCTATCTATGAAATGAAAGGATCTTTACTTCTTCCATTTATCTCATGCCCATAACTAACTTAACCAAAGCCTATTGATTTTACTACTTGAGTTAGTGGTTCTTAAATTTTGTGTTGATAATAGATCTATTCTTGGTGAATATCTTGAGATATCTATATCTTGAGATTTTGATGAAAGCCATGGTCTATCCTCAGAAAATGTGCACAAACACAATTGTTCARGGGAATCCCAATAGATAGTTTCTTACAGTTTGTACCCTCTTCTCTGCTTTAATGTGCCAGTATCCTAGTTTCAGTTGGGACCATTTTTTTCTGGGCTATTTCACTGTATTTCTAATAAGTTGTCTTGCCTCTTGTTTTCCTACCATCATCCCTCTCTGTTCTTCCTTATGGCCATCCTCTTATCTTCCAACAGATACCAGCTTAATTTCATTAATGAATCATTTTCCAAGTAAATTAATATTTAAATATGTCTGTGGTTTCCTATTATGCATGGAATAGATTTCCGATTATCTGATGCATATCAGAAATTTTCATCACATGGCACCTGCTGGGTGCCAAACACCTCTTGGGTTTCATTGTATTCCAGCAATACCATGGCAGTTAGTTTTCCAAACCTTTCATGACTGTCATCTATGTGCCTTTGCCAATGCTATTTCCTTTGCATAGAATGTAATTCCTCCTTTCATTTGCGTATGAGCTTCTGTAATCTTACTCATCTTTCAGAAACCTGGTTGTCAAAACCAATAACGTTTTTGTTCATTTCAGCAATGAATTACTCATTTCTTCCTCTGTATCTTATATATGATTGCCACATTACACAGTACTGTAATGCTTTTTTTTTTGGAGGGGACAGGGATTGAACTCAGGGGCTCTCAACCACTGAGCTGCATCTCCAACCCTTTATTGTATTATTTTTTTTTTTTTTTAGAAACAGGGTCTAATTGAGTTTCTTAGTGCTTTACTGAGTTGCTGAGGCTGGCTTTGAACTCATGATCTTCCTGTCTCAGCCTCCTGAGTTGCTGGGATTATAGGCATGTGCCACCTTGCCTGGCCTGTAATCCTTTTTAGTAGGTTTGTATTTGATAGAGGATGGACTACTCCTTTGTCATAGGATTGTATCTGTAATTTTGTATCTTTAATACTGTCACATTACTGTCCATGTTCATGAGGTTTTATAGTTTTAGAGGGTATATAGTTTTGGACTTATACCATTTCAAAAAGTAGATTTCACTCAGACTGTTTTATAAGTTATTACTTTATTGTAGGAGATAATAGCACCTCTTATTATATTATTTTAGAGCAGTGTTTTACCAAGGAATTACATGTTCAACATTTTGTGAAGTAGATTTTAAAACAATTAATACTATTTGTTCCCTGAGATTTGTGGATTAAGATTAAAAGAGCTATATTTAAGAGTCCAAAGTTAARATTTTTATCTTTACATTCTTATTCATTTGCTTTTTGACAGTTTAGCCTCTTGTAACTTTCTTATAATATGTAGAATAATATTTACTGATATTCTACATTCAACAAACATTTATTGCATGACCACCARTTCAACATCTGCATTGGATGAGGGGGACAAAACCTAAAACATTGATTGCTGATCTAGAAGTTAAGTGTRAGTAAAAATTACAAATCAGTACCATGAGTGAGAAAGGGACTGACATTGTGCTCTTCCTTCATTCAGTAAGTCACTTATTAACATAGATAAGGCATCCACTTTGGGCTAAGAACATGGCTCCTTTCCTCTCCAGGTTTATATAAAGAGACAACTTTAGACACAAAGTAGTGTGATTGCAGAAATATGAAGAAAGGTGCTTGGAAGCATAGGAGGAAGTGATTGATTCTATGTTGTGAAACCAAAGAAGTCTTCTGGAAGAGGTAATATTTGAACCTAGTCTTACCATATAAATAGGTAAATRAGAGGTAGAAGCATTTTTGTAGAAGAAATTCCATCTGCAAAGACTGCTATTAGGCAATAGCTTTGGCTGGCTTTGGGTGTGTGAGGGAGGGGATGTTTGGTGAGAATTGAAGCTGGGAAAGTAGTCTTGCTGTGCTATGGAGTTGGAAATTTAATGGAACTATTTAAAACAATGCTGTTTTTAAAAAAGTTTGTGGGATGGAAATGTTCTCTGTGCTATTTATTATGGTAGTCAATGATTATATGTAGATATTGAGCTCCTGAAAGGTGTCCAGTGTGTCTTAGAAGTTGAATGTGTATAGTAATCATGTTATATTTTATGAGACCTTGACATTTTGGGGACCTTGCTGTCCGTGAAAAGTCTGTCTCTCCCAGGCAGAGTATTAGACTCTGCCTCTATCTAATTCCTAGAGATATTAAACAATTTGCCTCAGAGAAAACTTACCATATGTTAACCAACCAATCCAAAGCCTATACTCCCAACCACCTCCTTTATCTAACTCCTTCACATTAAGCCAGTATTTCCCCTTCCCTAAATCACCCTGGGGATAGATAAGAGACTAGTAAAAACCACTCCTTTTGCCTGGAATCCACTAAAATGATTCCAGCTAGTCAGTAGAAGCTGTTTACCCTGTTCTGCCTTGCCTTTTCCATGGAAACCACAGTAAAGGCATGTGCCTTGCCCTCATTTTTTTCCCCCATCTCCTCCTCCCTCTAAGCCAACTCTGGTACTTCCCCATTTTGCCACCTCTTCTTGAAAACTCAAGGCAGTTGTGYACATGATTACCATACTTGCTTAAAATGTTAAGATACAAATCAAAACAAGGTGGTGGCACTAATGGCTAACATATTAGACAACACAGATCTATACAAAGATTCTAACCCCAAGAAACAGTTCTATTTCATGCACAGAACTTTAGTTCATTAAATAATCTTCATGGGGTGTCTCCTTTTTGGTTATGAGACTGTAGCAGCTGATGAGAAGACAAGGTTCTTACCCTTACAGAGCTTCATTCTGGTAACAGATTACATCTCCAATTCTACCATAGAACATTGCCAAGTTTATTTGGCAAAATGTTTTTTTTCAAAGGAGTTGCTCCTGCTTCCTCTCCAGTCTCTGCAATCACTTTTCAAACTGCCATTTATTGTGTATCTTCTCTGTACCAAGCAATATCATATAGATGGTATGTATGTAGGTTTCATTTAGATCTCTTTGGCATGGCGCTATATCAAAATTTCATTTTGGAAGTATCAGTATTAGCCAATGTTTCTTTCAGTAGTTAAATAGTAAGAAAATTGAGAGTAGTTTTTTACCAAGAGAGAAATAGATTTAATTTTATATCTGTTGGATTTGATTCACAATGATTTAAAACAAGTTTTGGATTTAGATTTTCAGGACTAAGCCTGCTAAGCTACAGTTTACCCACATGTAAAATGGGAATAATAATGTTACAATTAAATAGTTAAATAATAAATGGTGTTAAATGAGTTAGTACAGTTGTATTCTTAACATAGTCTGTTTATTCATCATTAATATTTATTAGCATATTTATTAGCATTTCTTGGCACATAATCCTGTTTTTCTCTTAACTAGGATATTTCTGTATAGTGCCTAGTAAGATAGGCACTCAGTGAAAGAAATTAAATATAACTCATCAGGAGGGGCTGGGGTTGTGGCTCAGTGGTAGAGTACTTGCCTAGCATGTGTGAGCCTTGGGTCTCAGTACTGCATATAAATAAAATAAAGGTCCATTTACAACTAAAATAAATATATATTTAAAAAATATAACTCATCACAAACATAAAGGATTCTCTGTAGAATATTAGCAGGCTTTTGATAATTGTGTGCTGAAATGTTTGTCTTGGTTTCCTTATATGTTTATCTCTATAGGCATAGAGAACCATTTTCATTTAGATCACTTGTTATATTCCCTATCTTTTTTTTTTCCGTGTTTAATTTTCTTTTTAAAAATTTTAAAAAATCTATTCTACTCAGTTATACATGACAGCAGAGTGCATTTGCATTTATTGTACACAAATGGAGCACAACTTTTCAATTCTCTGGTTGTACATGAAAAAAAGTCGAACCATTTTCATGTAATCATACATGTACCTTAGGGTAATAATGTCCATCTCATTCCACCATCTTTCCTGCCCCCCCCCCCCTTTGCCCAATCCAAAGTTCCTCCATTCTTCCTATGCTCCCTCCTCCCCAATTATTGGTCATTGATTGGGTTTTTTGTTTTGTTTTTTTTTTTTAGTTCTTTATGTATCCTGGAGATTAGTGCTCTATTTGGTATGTGTGTGGTAAACATATTCTCCCATTCTTAGAGAAACATTTGGCTTTTGGGGATTGGCTTACTTCGCTTAGCATGATATTCTCCAACTCCATCCATTTACCTGCAAATGCCATAGTTTTATTCTCTTTTAATGCTGAGTAATATTTCATTTTTTTATCCATTAATCTGTTGAAGTGCATTTAGGTTGGTTCTGCAGTTTAGCTATTGTGAATTGAGCTGCTATAAACATTGATGTGGTTGTGCTACTATAGTATGCTGATTTTAAGTCCTTTGGGTATAGACTGAGGAATGGGATAGCTGGGTCAAATGAAGGTTCCATTCCCAGATTTCCAAGGAATCTTTGGATTCTACTTTCCAGAGTGGTTGCACAAATTTGCAGTCCCACCAGCAATGTATGAGTGTGTCTTTTCCTACACATCCTTGCCAACCCTTATTATTGCTTGTATTCTTGATAATTGCCATTCTGACTGGCATGAGATGAAATCTTAGTTTTGAGTTGCCTTTCTCTCATTACTAAAGATGTTGAATTTTTTTAATATATTTGTTGATTGCTTATATATCTTCTGAGATGTGTCTGTTCACCTCCTTAGCCCATTTATTGATTGAGTTATTTGGTTTTTTTGGTGTTAAGATTTTTGAGTTCTTTATATATCCTGGAGATTAGTGCTCTATCTGATGTGTGTGTAGTAAAGATATTCTCCCACTCTATAGGCTGTCTTCATGTCATTGTTTCTTTTGCTAAGAAGAAGCTTTTTAGTTTGAATCCATCCTAGTTATTGATACTTTATTGATATTTTATTTCTTGCACTTTAGGAGACTTGTTAAGGAAGTTGGGGCCTAATCCAACATGATAAAAGATTTGGGATAATCCCCTGTCTTAWGACAGGCTAGGTACTCCAAAGAGTAAAATGAGAACATTGAATATATGCAAGTTTTAATTCATTAAGATAGTGTATTTTACATAACATTTTGGTATTCTTCAGAAACATTTACCCAAAAAAGTAAGTTGAAGCATTTGAAGATACTCCTAATCTAAAATTATAAATCAGAGGTAAAAATTTTATGAATATTGTTATATGATTTTAAACATGGTATTAAGGAGAGAAGAATGAAAATGTTTTTTAAACTTAAATGTATCACACTGAGTTTTATTTATAATTATGATTAATGTAATTCCTGATAAAAGTAAAGACAAACACAAATATACTTAATGGGTACAATGACATTTAAAATAGGTTTCTGAAAATAAGATTTCCAGTTTCATGAGTCTTAATTTATCTCATAAATAAGATAGTCCTAGATAGAACTGGGTTTATCGTGTGATTTATTCTRTTTTACAGGTAAGTTAAATGAGAAATTAATGTGAGAGTAGCAGATAAAGAGTAAGCTCAAGGACCCAACTAGACATGCTATTTTGCATTTTTTTTTAACATAAGCACACAGATTCTGACAAATATGTACATATTTAGTTTCAGAATGGCTTCGGTTATTGCCTTTCCTTGGTGTACTTGCACTACTTGGCTACCTTGCAGTCCGTCCRTTCTTCCCGAAGAAAAAACAACAGAAGGATAGCTTGATAAATCTTAAAATACAAAAGGAAAACCCTAAAGTGGTGAATGAAATAAACATTGAAGATTTGTGTCTTACTAAAGCAGCTTATTGTAGGTGTTGGCGTTCAAAGACGGTAAGATGTCTGTTTACCTGTACAATGAACTTTTGTGGAGTTAAGAATTGTTTTGTTTCTTAAGTACCAGTTTTGAGGTTCTGTGAGAGATTTTTTTCCCTTAGTAKTCTACTTACATTAGAAAAGTTAGAACAATAAATAAAGATARAAATCTGATGTTTTCCCAATGCTCATCACTGTCTAGAGGAACATATGTTTTAAAATACACTTAATTTTTGAGAGAGGATATAGGTTTAGTAAAAAGAGCTTAAGCATTGAAGTCAGAATAGTGTATAAATCTAATGCCTGTCACTTGGGCAAGTTAGGCAAGTTGTCAATTTTGGACAAGTTACTTTTTTTTGGTTCTGAGGTTTGAGCCCTGTGGTATTTACCACTGAGCTACATCCTTAGCCTGTATTTTTTATTTTGAGATAGGGTCCACTAAATTGCCTAGACTGGCCTTGACTTGCTATTGATTTGTCTCAGCCTCTGGAGTTGCTGAGATTATAGGCATGTGCCACTATGCCCAGCTGTAAATTATTTCATTTTTAATCTCTAATTTTCAGCATTCAAAAAAACAAAAACAAAAACAAAACAAAACTGTTACTATATCAACATTGCAGATATTTTTGAGAAATTAGTAAAATTATATTTATAAATTGTCCTACTTAAGATGAGCTAGGAAATGGGAGCTATAATTACTGATGATTTTTAATAAAAGGAGGAGTTTGGAGTAATGAGTATTATAAGTAGTTAATGAAATCTGTTTTCTTTGATCATARGTTATTTAAGATTTTAAGTACAATTCTTCATCACAGCATGTTTTATAATAAAATTTAGAAACTATCTGATGATAGAACAATTAAAGTACAGCATAATACAAATGATAGAAAATTAGGACTCTTTTATAAATCATGTTTTTAAGGAATATTTAGTGATGTGAGATCCTGATTTAATACAAGATAGAAAAGCATATTATAGAATGATCCTAGTTTTTAAAAATGTGAATACACAGTAAATGCACAAAATGTTACATAAATCTGATAGATTATGAGTGAAATTTTTTTCATTAAATTTTTTTCAAAAATCCCATGGTATACATAATCTTTACRGTGAAAAAAACAGTATAGAATAATTTAAATTTAGATTTCATTTTAAAATTTAAATAATTTAAGAGATGAGCTCAAATTTAGAGTTTCATAGAGAATAAGAATTTATCGTTGATTGCATTTTAAACCTTATATGGAATCATCCAGATTTTTATTTAAAATCGAAACCAAATGAGTTAGTTATTTAGATTGTTAGATTTGCTGTGGGTATCAGAATGCGGTCAGAATGTATCTATTATTCAGAAAAGCTATCTGATAAAATTTCTTTTTTTAGCAAGGATATGCTTTCTTTTTTTTTTTAAAGGATGGGTGCCCCAACCCATGCTCTTTATTTATTTATTTTTTTAAGAGAGAGAGAGAGAATTTTTTTAATATTTATTTTTCAGTTTTCAGTGGACACAATATCTTTATTTTATTTTAATGTGGTGCTGAGGATCGAACCCAGTGCCCCGTGCATGCTAGGCGAGTGTGTTACCGCTTGAGCCACATCCCCAGCCCCACGATATGCTTTCTTTATGATAGCATATCACAGATATTTATGAGAGCACATTTCACAAATATTTCTATTTAATCATATTTTTAAAATAACACTAATTCTTTTTTTTTTTTCCCTTTTAGTTTCCTGCCTGTGATGGTTCCCACAATAAACATAATGAATTGACAGGAGATAATGTGGGTCCACTCATACTGAAGAAGAAAGAAGTGTAATAGTAATGATTTAGGATTGGTCAATTGTGTGCTGTAAAATCTTCCAACAACATTTTCTCATTCTTTGTGTATAGAAAATCTTTGAAATGGTGGTTTTAATTATTACTACTGGCTGAATAATTATTTCTGCCAATTTATTTTCTTGCTACACTACTGTTTATATTTGATATTTAGTATATTCAAAGTCATTTATGTAGAAGTTATCTGTCAAGCCTCATTCTGACTTCAAGGAATTAATGTATATTTCGGCAATAAAATCCATACTTCTGGTTTTAATTAATTTAGAAATGTGTCCAACACTGTTTCTTTTGATAATTAATAATTCAACAGAATCCGTACTTTAAAATTTTGCTACACTGTTAAATATTTTTTAYATTGCTTTGTTTTGATCCTTTGAAATGATTTTATCTTCCTTTGGCCTTCACACTTCTATAAAGCTTTTTTGCTTTATAGAAATTGTTGTTTCATTAATATAAATACCCCGATTTCAAAAAAGAAGTAAACTGGATATAAAAAGTTCCAATGAGGAATAGTTATTTACATTATAAAAGATTTGTTTACTTTACAAAAGGCACGTTGTGTGTGTATGTATTGTGTGTCTGAGCTAGTGACAGCTGGGGGTAGGATGGCAAGAACATTTAATATCTAAATGTACCTGCTGCTGCAATTTGAGGTCAGTTAGAAATAAAAACATATCTGAATTCAGATTAAAATGTTAAATAGTTCAAACTTTTTTCTYTTAATAGTATAAATCATTAAAACAAAACATTAAAATATTTTCAAAATAAATTTAATGAACGATCTTCAAAATATTTACAAATATTTTCTTTTTAACATACACTGAGTCACATCCCCAGCCCTTTTTTGTATTTTATTTAGAGACAGGGTCTCACTAAATTGCCGAGGCTGGCTTTGAACTAGCGATCCTCTCGCCTCAGCCTCCCAATCTGCCAGGATTACAGGCAGTACCACCATGTACAGTACAGTTCTTATAATAATAGCTGCTTAAGTTAGGCTTTTTCTTTTCTTTTTGGTATTGGGAATTGAACTTAGGGGTGCTTTACCATTGAGCTACATCCCCAGCCCTTTTCATTTTTATTTTGAGAAAGGTCTCACTAAGTTGCTTACTACCTTGCTGTGTTATTGAGGCTGGCTTCAGACTTGTGATCCTTCTGCCTCAGCCTCCCAAGTAGTTAGGATTATAGGCGTGTCTGTTTATTAAAGGTACAATCCATTCAGTTCACTGTTTTCTTTTTTATATGTAGAGGTGCCAGGAGTCAGGCATTTAATTCTTCCAGTAATAAAGCTAATAATTATTGAGCATTTATATGTATCTGGCACTTCACTAACATGGTAGTTGGATTTTGAATTTATTACATGTAATATCAAAAGGCTGTACTGCCTGATCTTAACTTTCTTGTGATTTTAGTTAGAAATCTAACCTGTAGTTTCTAAGAAGTCCAAAATTATTGTTCTTTCCTCTTCCCATTTATCAGTGAAGGAAAAATACAACATTGCTCTCTTTTTTTTTTTTTTTCCCTGTAACTTTTATTCAATACCCTTAAGGGCTTCACTGTCAAGAGTAATCAATTATTTTTTCTAAGGTTGGTCCCAAGACTTGGAGAAAGTCCTCCTTACCAAAAGTTTATATATTCTTGTCTGTGTGTTTGTGGTCATGAAATGTTGGTTTTTTTTTTTTTGTAAAACCATTCACTGTAACTCAGCAACATGTCTCTAAACATGTTCTAGTGTTTTCCATACTTAGATTTCACAGAAGATAAATTTTCTGAAAATATGTAGTCTAAAATGAAATTGTCAACTTTTAATTTTGTCAAATAAATAAGAGCACTTAAAATATTGAAAGTGAATTCTGTCATAGAAAGGTAATTCTAATGCACAAAAAGTAAAATGGTTAAACTCTCACAATAAAGGGTTTCTCCCCCTCCACATTTTCCATTTTAAAAATGTTTAAAGAGCTATGCCAAATATTTTCCTGCCTGTGCAAATTTTTCAGAAACCTGAACTGGTAGCAAGCTGTTATTTTAATAATTCTTTTACATAAGTAGTATTGACAGTTGCCACCACTTCCCAGAATACTGTTATGTGTATCTTAAGAAACAGACATTAAATGCCTCTGAATTGATACAATAAAAGTAACTTAGCTCTTGAAATACATGTTTCTAGAGGCTTCAGGAAACACACTGTCTCAAGATTGTTTTGAGAGCTGCCTTTCCTGCTTACCTAGGGAACTACTCATGCCTTACTCAGCTAATGGGCACCATCATTACATAAACATCAGGTATCCAGAAGGGTTAGCAGGCTTGAGGTATTAATGATTCATTCATGTGGATAATTAAGCAAGTTGTATATGTTAAGCACATTACAATTCAGCCTTGACTTMAGTGCTTCATATGATTCATGAAGTACTTTTGTATTTTGTAACCAAATTTGTAATAAGTTTATGGGAAGCCAATTAAGCCAACTGCTGATCTATCTAGTTCTGCCTTCCCCACTGTGATCCCACAGTCTTTCATTAGAAATGTGCTGTCAGACACTCTTCCTGTCCAGAGAGTTTCAAAACTCCACTGTTTAACAGGGTTCTTCATCTAACAATTGCACTTTTGTTATTTAGGGCAATATGACCAATCTGGAGAAGACCAAGTAAGATATTACTAATGTTTGCACTAGGTGAACTCCTTAGCTCCCCATCTTCATAGTCTACATATTCTTATTTCATATCCAGTTCTAACACATTTGGTTTCTCCTGAGCAGATCACAAGTACAGATAATATTTTACTAGAAGCAGGTAAACAAGCAGATGTGACAGTTGAAAACAGGAGAGATGACCAGAAGATAAATTTAAAATGAACATTAAACATAYAGCAGCTTTAATATAGGATCCTGCACACCACAGTTCTTGATATCACCATGATCAAATTATACAAGTGATATTTAGTGATGAATCTGAATCAAGTAGTGTGTGATATATAAGAAGGCAGACGAGAGTATGTGCTGCATTTAGTGGTCACATTTTCCACTTTAAATAGTTAAAAGCTTGTTGCTT